TGCTTAGCTTGCGAGATCTGATGAGACCGGGCTATATCATGCCACCTTCTATCCTCTTTTTAAGTGTAGCTGATCCTCCTGATCACTGCAGATTGAACCTATTTAGCTATGGTTTGTTCCAGTCTTTAAAACAGCGTGCGAAGCAGCTCAGATGGGCAGAGCGAGGGAAGAGATCCATCGACTGCTAGTTGGGAAGGGTGATCACAACAATTAAAACAGGGCGTTGGCTGTTTAACATACTACAGAAATGGACAGAGTGGTGTAGTGGTCAGAGTGTCATACTAGGATCTGGGAGGCCAGGTTTGAAGGAGACTGGCTTTATACCCCACCCTTCACTACCAAAAGGAGTCTCAGAGTGGCCTACAAACTCCTTTCCCTTCCCCTCCCCACAACAGACACCCTGTGAGGTGGGTGGGGCTGAGAGAGCTCTTGATAGAAACTGCTTTTTCAAGAACAGCTCTTATCAGAACTACAGCTTGCCCAAGGTCTTCCAGCCAGGTGCAAGTCGAGGAGTGGGGAATCAAACCCGGTTCTCCCAGATTAGCGTCCGCGCACTTAACCACTACACCACAGTGGCTCTTCCCCCCCCCACCACCATAATGTTCACTGAGTGACTTCAGGCCAGTCACATACCCTCAACCTAGAAACACAAGCTGGAAGGGACCTAAAGGGCCATCTCTTCCACCCCCCTGCACAACTAACCTTCCCCTCCACTCCCCCAGGGACCCCTGCTCTATGCCCGGAGGGAGGCAAAAAACCTCCAAGATCCTGGGCCAGTCCTTCCTGACCCCAAAGTGGCGATTGGCACTACCCTGAGCATGTAGGAAAGGACGGCGAGAGCTAAGCACAGGATCATCCCTTCCTGCCCTCCTTCTAATGATCTGCCTAAATTCACAGAATCTGCATTGCTGTCAGAAACCTACCTCACAAGGCTAGAGAACGAGGGAACAATGTTGTAAGCCACTTTGGTTCCCGCTGGGGAGAAAGGTGGGGGTGATGGTGGACAGCACCATCAAGTCACAGTAGGGTCTTCAAGGCAAGAGGTGTTCAGAGGTGGTTTGCCATTGCCTGCCCCTGTGTCACGTACCTGGTATTCCTTCTTGGACGTCTCCCATCCAAGTACTGCCTGCCCCTGTGACACGTACCTGGTATTCCTTCTTGGACGTCTCCCATCCAAGTACTTTCCAGGGCCAACCCTGCTTAGCTTCTGAGATCTAATGTGATCAGGCTAACCTGGGCTATCCGGGTTAGGGCAAAGAGTGGGGTATAATTACCTAAATAGACACTACGAGTAGGAATTGGCTGTAGCATCAGAAAAGCTGCTATATATCACAATTTCTGGCAAATAAACAGCTTCAGCATGGTAGATCATGCTGTATTTTGAGTAGCCAACCCTAATTTGGGATTGAATCAAACTCAATTTTTATAATTTTTGGTCCCGCACTGTGGGTGGCATCACATGAGCCTATCTGAACAAAACACACCAACAGCATCCGTGTATTACATATGTTTTATTTGTGAAGGTTTTTTTTTTTCTTTTGGAATGTCTGCATATCCTTCCCACTTGTCATTACACAATATTAATTTAAGACATTATTAGGGAGACCTCGTTATCGCTAAAAATATTCATAGCAGCGGCTTCCAGAAGTTTTTTTTTAATTAAATCAAGTCATTGCACTTGGTCATTTTATTGCTACAGCAAAAAAAAAAAGGCAATTCAATAATCAATACCTTTGATTTAACCGATTGTCTTCTCTTATTCGTGTGCTATATGCTTAAGGGGGCAGACACAGCATCGTCTTCCAGCAATTTATCAATTTCTTTTTAACCGAACATTCTGGGTCACAGTGAAGAGCGCAGAGCCTTTTGTTATGTTCAGTTAGTTGCTTTGCATAATCAGGCTTAAATGGCTGGCATCAAAAAGAAACTGAGTTCCCCACTCATCCAAAATAGCATGGTCTGAAGCTTTTTGCTTTATTTTTGATGCAGCCGAATAATTGAAGAATTCATATCAGATTATAGTTTACAAAAAGGGATGGATCTGCACAATAGCTTTATCCCCCGGAGATACATTTAGTTATTATCGAAACTGCTAAAAATGTAAACTGGCGGCGGCAGTCAAACCTCGTGGAACTGAGTCGTTAGATTTGCAAGGTTAGCGGAGCCCCAGTACGGCAAACGAACCCAAGGGTCATGATTTACTACGCGCTCTTAAGTTTCATTTTTCAGGTTACAGATTTTATCCATGACCTGTGGCAGATTAAGCCAGAGCCTGGCTCGCAAACGAGTAATCGGTCAGCATTCTTGTCAAACCAGGGGAGGAAAGAAGGGCGACGGAGTATATTTTCCTGCCGTTCATATCCTGTTGAGACGGAAGCAAGAGATCGATACAAAAACGTATAATGTACGGAACTTAGGCGTTCATTCCGTTTTAAGTTGGCCGGCCTAAATCCTACCCATAAAATATTGCTCCCCCCCCCCAACATCATTTAATGATAGCAATGAGGGAGGGACAAGAGGAGGAGGTCTATATATTAAGCCTTGGGTTGAATGCACAGCTTCAGTCACCTGAGCATTTTCGGTGTCTCCCCTCCACGTGGAATTAAGTGGACGGTGGCGGGGACAGAGAACAACTATTTGTACTGCATGCAATTCTTTCCAAAAAAGCTCTATTGTTTCTTTAGGGGGAAAAAAAGTTTGACATCTGAAGTCCATTGAAATACTACAGTGTATGTAATACTCATAACTGGGTTGCGTTTAACAGCAAACGGTATTCAACGAGTGGACACCCATGCAGTCACACAGGGGAATGGTGCATACATGGGCCAGTCACTGAAGATTCCAGGGGTCATCGGCAAGGTGCTTCTCTCCCTCTTCAGCTGTTTTTCCTGCCTCTGGGCCACCTGAGAAGCGATGGGCACACTCCTTCCTCTTCAGCATTTCTGGACCACTGTGAGAATTCCCAAGCGACAGATCCAGGCCAGTCTATGGGAAGGGTAGGAGGGAAGGCCGTGGGATCGCACAGAAGACTGCTCAATGAACACCAGTTACATAAGTGCAGCCCTGGTTTCATCGCTGTGGCCTCTGCACAATTCCACACTGGAGATCTACGAATTCGCTTACCAAGTAGATGATGGATGTGGACTCGGGGCTGAGCAGAGTACACAGGACTGCCTTGCCCAGTTTTGTCTCCACATTAATTAATGCCTGGAAAGAGGCACAAGACCACATCTCAAATTCACGTTGTCTCCTCTACTGGAATGTGGCTGAGGATGCCGGAGCCCCAGTGGAACGAACACGAATCTTTAGGAGACACGATCTGCCCGAAGTATGGAAAGCTCGGGAGAGTGGTCTTGTTGTCAGTTTTCCGGTGTTTCGTGGCAGATAAGAAGTGGGTTTTCCACACACCCCCAATGTGGTTAAATAGAACATGGCAGTGTGGTCGCCAATGTTGAAAAACGAAATAAACAAATCAGTTTATTGTATGGACCCACGGTGGGGAAGTCTTCAGCAATTGCTAGCTGGCGAAGCCCTTTCCCAGAGGGTAGATTTAAGGCACAAGGCCTCGTTGCTTCGAGTGTGACTCTTCTGCACACCAGGTGATGAACAACTCCATAACCCCCTTCACCAAAACAGACCAGGCAGAGAGGGACGAAAATTCTTCATCTTCAGGCCATTTTTAGCTCGGCACCCGGAGCATTTTTAAAGACGGCTTTTTGAACAACAGTGGGAACAGGAGAATGGAAATGAAATTTGGGATATTCTGCCATTTTTCATCACTCCCCCCCCCTCTTTTTTGAAGTGAGCAAAATCTGAAGCTCTCTCCTTGTAGTGGCAAAGAGGACCAAGGAAAAAGAGCCTGCCTTCCTTCCTCACATGACCCAGAGGGCAGGAAAAACTGTCAAGAGAGGGAGTCGAGCACCTCACATTCCGTTACGTTCCGGAACCTTCTGTGACTGGCAGGCACCTGCGCAGTTCCCACACCAGGTTGTGCGGAGACTAGGAACGCCTCTGCGACTTGTTGCATGCCGTCACAGCCTTGTGACGTCACTTTTATTTTACTATTGCATTTCGTTGCCGACAGAAGACTGGAAGCCAGGACCATTTTGTTGACATATGAGCATTTCTTCTCCCTGAAGTTGGTACTGGGAATTTCTACCAGAAAAAAAGTTAAAGTCACAAGAGTCTTTAGTGTTTCATTACAAATTACAAAAAAGCACGTAAATTATGAACTTCAAGGATGTTTGCATGCCATACACTGCAATATCTAGGCACATCAGGTTGAATTATAAGATCTTTGCAAGATTATGCCTGGATTTCCTTGTGGTTTTAAATTTTCCTCTTCCTATGGTCTTTCCGGCTTAAGTCTCTCTAATGAATCATATAGTGCAAGTGACAATGTTCTCAGTTAAAAGAATTACTATGAATTAGGGTTGGGGGGTGGGTGGGAATTGCTTTGCGTTGGCAACTCAGCTGCAGCATAGCACCATGTTCCCAATATCACCCTGAAGTATAAAACAGTATATTATCAATACTCTCACTGCAGACAGGCACAACAGTGTAACCCCTGGATAGGAATGCAAAATAATTAAAAATATATATATGTACAAACATCATATTCCCTTCTGCACGGCGGGAAAAGTAGTGACTATAATTGGCTGCAGGGCTATTATCATCTGCCTCCCGATAGACTATTTTACAGATTACTTTTGCAAAGATATAGCGCCGTATAGTACAGATCTATTAAAAATTAGACTACAGGTATCGATAAAAATTTATTAAGAACAACCCCCCCCCTTTCACCCCTCTCCTTTTTATACAGATTCAGTAGTATTTTCAAGCAAACCAAGGAAAAGAAAGGTCTGCGATTCCAGCACAGTTAAGATATAAGGCCTCTCCTATATTGGCAAGAAAGAAACAGACAAAAAAAAAAGGAGTAATCCGTTTTCTTCTCTCACTTAGCTCACTGAATATACAATTTATATCCATTTATTCATTTAAAAAAAATGGAATGCTAGCATTCATTGGTTTGAAGTAGGAAGATCAACTTCTTTCTGAGTTCCTGGCAGGTTAAGGACGAACGGTCCGTGGTGCTTCTCATGTCGTCAAGACAGCTTTCTTGAGCTTTTCTATTTCTGCCTGCGGATGACATGCACATCAGGTCATGAAATAAAACAGTTAACGACATTCACCACGTGCATTTTTACTCTCCCCTCCCCTTTAAAACGCATCCGTTTGCAAAGAAAGTCCGGTCTTGATATTCAATAATACTTAATATACGCTTTGACAGCTCAGCCCAAAAGGTAATTATTCCGGAGACAGTATAACCCAGAGAGCCAGTTTGGTGTAGTGGTAAAGTGCGCGGACTCTGATCTGGGAGAACCGGGTTTGATTCCCCAATCCTCCACATGCAGCCGCTGGATGACCTTGGACAAGCCATAGTTTTCTCAGAGCTGTTCTCTCAAGGACAGTTGTGGAAAGAGCTCTCTCAGCCCTGCCTACCTCACAGGGTGTCTGTTGTGGGGAGGGGAAGGAAAAGGAGTTTTGTAAACCGCTCTGAGGCTCTGAGTGAAGGGTGGGGTATAAATCCAATCTCTTCTCCTTGTTCTAACCCGTCCACTGCCAGTGCTTAGCCCTTTCCATCTGTGGGATCTTTGCTGTTTCCTTAGCCGTAAGACGACTTATATTTGGGAGAAGTCAGAGCTGGAGTACTACATCAGCACTGCATCATCCTCCATTACACTATTTAAGTTCATGATATCTGTCTCTCTTCACTGTTACATATTGATGGCACATTGTCCCTGACAAGACAATTTTATTTGCACTTTTAGGGTCTACACTGGAAGGTATTTTTCTCTTTATTTAATTTCTCATATTTTTACTTAATAGATTTTACCATTGGTTATCTTTTGGAATTTATCTTCATCCTTATTCCCAGGTATATATTATTTCCAGTATATACAACTACTTCTGACACAAGGACAGATATATTTGTGGCTCCAAATAGAAACTTTTTGGTGTGCCACTCAATTCCATGTTGGAAGTAAGTATATTTGGGTACAGTAAAATATTTTTTTTAATATCGGATGGAATTTTCAATTGAATTATTAAATATTAATCTAAAACATGTTTTCTCTTTCTGTACAGCATTCCAATTTTGGTCCTGTTTTATTTATTCTTAATGGCCTTACATGTGTGACAGGGACTCTGTTGCTTCGCTTTAATGTTCTGCCATCAGAGGTGCTTTTAGGGAGGTACCGCCAGATACCATATGTAGGCAGACTTTGTCGTTGCTCTCTAAAAGATATAGAATCCACGACACACACCAATACTTCATTGCCCCCTCTATAGGGATATCCGATCTCATTGTATTACTCCATTTCTAGAGGGTAAGAGCTGGCACTCTGATGACTCAATTGTTCCCTTTCTTCTGTTCTAACTGCGAAATAATGGAGGCTGTTTCAAAATTGTTATATTATGCAATCAGAAGACGAGGCTTGAATAGCCAAGTGTAAGTGACTGATGCATCTTAGTATTTTCCTGTGTTTCCATGATGTTTTGTGTTTTCATGCCAATAAAGGTTTTGTGTGTGTGTGACTGTTGCTTGTTGTATTTTGCACTATTTGACCTCTGAAGAAGGCTCTTGTGAGCCGAAAACGCTTCAGGTCACACACGGTCCTTTTTTGTGTGTATTTAAGAACATAAGAACATAAGAGACGCCAATGTTGGATCAGGCCAAAGGCCCATCCAGTCCAACACTCTGTGTCACACAGTGGCCAGAAATACCAGTGCCATCAGGAGGTCCAGCAGTGGGGCCAGGACATTAGAAGCCCTCCCACTGTTGACCCCCCCAAGCACCAAGATGACAGAGCATCACTTGCCCCAGAGCCCCTAGCTATACCTTGTGGCTAATAGCCACTGATGGACCTCTGCTCCATATGCTTATCTAATTCCCTTTTGAAGCCGTCCATGCTTGTAGCACCCACCACTTCCTGTGGCAGTGAATTCCAAGTGTTAATCACTCTTTGGGTGAAGAAGTACTTCCTTTTATCTGTTCTAACCCGACCGCTCTGCAGTTTCATGGAGTGCCCTCGAGTTCTTGTATTGTGAGAAAGGGAGAAAAGTACCTCTTTCTCTACCTGCTCTTTCCCATGCATAATCTTATAAACCTCGATCATGTCACCCCTCAGTCGTCTTTTCTCCAAGCTAAAGAGCCCCAAGCGCTGTAACCTTTCCTCATAGGGAAAGTGTTCCAACCCTTTTATC